AGGGGGTGGGGTTGGGGGGAGGAGGGAGATGGGGAGGGAGATGGATGGGGTAGGAGGGTAAGGGCGTAGTGTAAGCGAAGATTAGAAGGCGTTAGAAGGGTAGATTATTACAAAATGATCACACCACTATCAATCGTATATATCTCTTCCAGTCCCTGCCCCCACTTCACTACAATGGCAGTTATTACTCAGGCCTGGCTCCCCCCCGCCCCCCTCCCTTCCCGTTTTCTTGCCTTTATCTATAGAAAATCGAATAAAAAGTCCAATCACTTGTAACACCTTGTAAGCGTGTTACCTTGTAAAATTGAGATGTCAAAAGTAACACTCAAAAGACGTCTCCTGTTGGGACAGACAAAGACAAGAGAGCTGTGGAGGATTGCGGGTACGTTCCAGGCCTGGGGCGTATTACTGTTTCCTTGACGACTGTAATCAATGCTCGCACTTCGGCCCCGCCCTCGACCCCCCAATCCCCTCCGCACCTCAACTCCCACTGTGCTGAATTGTTCTGCTCTGACTTCCACCTGCCACCTCGTCTCTTCCCTCTCTCTGTGCTGAGTCCTCCCCCACCTCCCACAGCACCGCCCAACGCTCACCCCCACCCCCGACCCATCCACGGGCCAGACCCGCAGACAGGCAGAGAATGGGAGAACCACACCCACCCACACGTCGCTCCCTTAGTGTCCAGCGCTTAGTTATGTCACGGAGGATGAGTCAGCGATGCCTGTGATTGGCTGATGCATCCCGGCTCCCCTGCAGATATTTGCATCATGGTTTTGATCATGATTTTTGATTGCTTGAACAATAGTGTTATTGTTGCAAGGCCTTTAATTGGTTATCATTCTTGAATTTCCCCAGGATGAATACAAGTATTTTCCTATGTAGGCCTATATCGCTTTAGCTTTGATATATCTTTATCTGTGGAGAGGGAGAAAGCTCAGTAACGCATGCGTTCCCACCACATTTCAGTGAAGTTGAATATAGTGTGTGCAGTTTTGTACTTGCCTGAATATGAATTCCCCTCATAATGAGCCTCTGTGTGCCGTGTTGAATAGGGAGGCAGAAAATCATTGCTCAGCTTCCTTCTCCTTAGTTACAGATTTTTCTAGCTGACCAACTGTTGGCAAGAAGTGCGCAGTGCCAATTAAGAGAGAATTTGTTTCTGCTCAAACAAGCCACAAATACACACACAGGCATACACACTGAATGGGATGAAAAGAGGCACTGTCATGCTGAGACAGTGAAGCTTTCAAAATGAGCAAGTTAAGAAGGTGAATATCAGTCCTTTTTTCCTCGGGATCGGGCTCTCTTCCTCCCTGATCCTCCTTGAGGCATTCCATGGCATTCTGCTCCTTTCACAGCGACCGCTCGCTTGTCGATCACCCTGACCTGAGAGAGGAGAATTCAATTCAAGCTGGCGTCCATACTTCGCCTCCCCTGCTTGTCTCTACTCTCTCTCCCCCCTCTTTCCATTTCCCTCTCTATGGTCGGCATAGCAACAGGCGTCAGACTCGTAAGAGAAGGCACTGTGGTCGGTTTCTCTCCCTGTCTCTCTCTTTTCTGCCTCCCTAACTCTATATTCGACCAGTATTCCAACAAAGATAAACGTATTGGGCATTTCTGATTATACAATTAATAGCTGGAGCAGTTTTTGAAGATTATAAACTTGGCACACCAAAACAGTTTGTTCAAAACAGTGAAATTGAAATAATAGGATTGTGCAATTAGCGGTGTGCTTGCAAAAACATTGCACCACTCCCCCTAATGGCTAGTATGCATTTGGTCTCCCTGGTGTAATGTCATTAATGTAAATCCTTTGAATCTCTCCAGAAATCCCACTGAGTGGATTCTAGATATTTCATGTAGAACGATATCAACTTCAAACCTTAGAAATGTATCTTCCTGCCTGTCTGTGAGCCCGGCCTCAGTGTATGAGACTCAGATGGTGACTAGTGACTTTGTAAAAAAAACCCAAAAAAAATGTTTTAAAAAAAAAAAAGAAAAGAAAAAAGTTGTTGTGTTAGCATGAGTGGCCTCCCTCGTGTGCTGTGTGTGGTGTGCCATTGTGTGTGAAGATGTGTGTGTGTGTGTGTGTGTGTGTCCTCAGGTCGTTTGTCAGGTTTTAAAAGCACCCACCTTACCCTTGCCCCATTTCACCCTCACACTACTCTGCTACAGTATAATGTAGCTCAAACACTCCCCTCTCACTCTATCTCCCCCTCCTGTCTGATAAGAGGCCTGTGTTATGAGGACAGTTGGTATTAGTATTTTTGCACTCTGCTCGCTGATCTTAATGCACTTACAAGCATGGCAGTCGCACTCCAGTCCCACGCAGGCTTTCATTCTGCTCCAGGTTTACAGCCTGTTTTCCATCATCCACTCCCAGTGCATCTGCTGAGGCTCAGTGAAAGCACAGGTGGCACACACAAACATAGAAACAGACACGCAGGTCCTCTAATTGTTCAGCCCGCCAGTCCATGCCTGGGCCAACTTCTCCTGGGTGGCAGCTAAAATCAAAGCATTCATCCATCCTTGACTGTGGGAGGTAAGATATGGAGCAGGGTGGGATGCACCGGGCCGGAGTGCGACAGCCACGCTGGTGTGGGGAGTGACTGTGTCCTGTCAGCCTTTGGTTAGTGTTCTGTTCTAATCTGCTGGGCTCCCTATGTGAACCTGTGGACGGTGCTTCTGTTCTGAGTGCCATGTGAGAAACAAACGCTTCAGTAAAAAAAAAAAATTTGTTTTACTTGTTTTGTTTTAATTTACCTTTATATTTCCGTTTGTTTGTCTATTTTGTTATCCAAGGGTTTAAAGTTCAAAGATCATTCTCTAATGCCAACCTGCACTCCTTTTTAAATGTGATGAAAACGTTCTGTTGGTCTGAACCATATGTGCCAAATTGTATGTATATTCCTCTGTCAATGCCTTGCATATATACAGTGCATAAAAAAAATATTAAGGAAATTCTGTTTTTGGATGCAGCTTTGAAGAAAAGTGAAAATACAAAAGAGTCGTCACAGCGTGTCAGATTTCTATCCCAATGCCATGGGTGCTGACAGTATTCTGCTGCAGTTTACAAAAGGTTTAACACAATTTGTAGTTTTTGATCAGTCAGTGTGTGTTGCTCCAGTATAGGCCTGCACTGCGCCTCTCTCCTTGCATAGTTTACTTCAATCCGAGGCACCTACCTATGTATTTTTAACCTTTTGACTGTGTTTTACCAGCTCTCACATAATTTCAACCCCAACAGGTTGAAGCGTTTACAACCATAGTATTAGTATCACAGTGAAAAGGGACTGGGCGCGGTGCATTTAGGGTTCAAAACTCCACCAAAAGACATATAGATGAACACAAAACTCCTCCAAGCCCCAAAGCCCCATGATAATTCTCTCTATGGATTTCAATTTCTTTCACTTTCTTTCCAAATGGCTTGTGTAGCAAGTGAGGGAGCAGATGTTTTCACACAGCTGTGCAGGGATGCCATTACTGTAACACAGCTGCACAAAAACCCGGCTTATTGGCTGATCATAGCTCAGCTCTGGTCTGCACCAGACACAACATTTCCGCTTCACAGCATTTCCGATCCCAGTTCGCTCAAAGACTATAAGGGACGTTCGTCTTTTCCTGCGCCGCATCTGCAGAGCCTCTTGGCCGGTGCAAGAGGCGCAGTCCAAAATTCCTCTCTATATCGCCCCCTTCTCTCTCCCTACACAATCATAGCAGATAAAACATCAGTTAGACATCTGGAATTTGAAACTGCATGCATTCAATCGCATGTGGAAAAACTATTATAATATCTGAGCTAAAAATGCCTTTGAGATGAACTCAATCAGTTTGGGGCTGGCCTGTTGCCTGAGTGCACTTCCACCATGGGGAAGCTGCAGTGTAACGTCATCTTGAAATGGTTTCCCAGTCATTCCAGACACTTATGCAAGAGTGCTTAGCAACTCAGAGGTGCACAGGAGAAAAACTGTGTTTTAATAAAGTCAAAATAAACAACGTGGTAAGTTTCTACACATTTGCTGTTTTAGATTTGGTATTACTATTTAATGCACTGAGACAATAAGTGTAGTATTTCTGATAAGTCCCTCACAGGCACCCACTGTTTAGATTTGAGGTGAACTTCGTTATGTTTTATATGGTTTCTCAGGTCATTCCAACAGCAGATTTATTCATGTAGAAAACCACTACATTTAGCATTTACTAACACACACATTGTTCTATATCACTGCACAAACTGTCAGGCCATCCATGTTCTTTAAGCTTTAGTATTTAGAGTCAAAGTGCGAGGCTCTCTCACTTTGTTCACTCATCCACACTGAAAACCCAAACAACCACATCAACCTGCGGCTATTGTTTCTTTAGCAGTCTTTTTTACATCACAGCTCCATTGCAGTTGCTACGGAAGTACAACCGCGCTGGACTTTTCATGTACAGTACTAGGATGCATGTTTAGTCAACCAGAAAATAAGGCATGTTTTTATGTACAGCTCACCGTCTCTTTCCATGATAGTTAAGTGGTCATGTAGTGGCATGGTGTGAGGCAGAAGGCCCTTCCAGTCGTATCAAGTTGCCAACTGAAGCCAATCCACTGCCCCCTGACCTCACCTTAAGCATTGGCACTGTTATGGCCAGCTGCTCCATTCATGACACACCTTAACCTTTCTCTGGGAATGTTTCAGAAACTAACTTTACGTCACATCCCACCAACCCTGACCCGTTAGAGTTCAGTCACCAATGGTCATTTCCAACAGGTTGATTTCTATGTTAGTTCTCCTCTACTCTGCCCTTCCATATGTTGTTTTTCCTTGTTGCAAACACTCTCTCAACTTTGTTTTTTAAACCCTTTGAATTGATGCTGCTTCTGTGCTTGACTCTGGGTTTACTGTGTGGTGCCATGTTGTCCACATGGCCTGCCTCTAGAGCTTGTAACGCTTCAGTGTGTAATGTTACCATATGCCTTACATGTTTTCCAGGACTAATAAAAAAAGCATAACAAAAACTTCAGATGTGCTTTTTTATTTCTGTTTAACATTGTTAACAAGTTGAAGAGACACATACAGGTTTTTAAGTAATTCATTTTACTCTTTACTCCAATTTACCACGAATATCTAGTTTTTTTTCTTAATTAAATGATCCTTAAAATGGCAGTACAAAATGTATATCTACACTAAAGTACTAGCACACTACACAGAACAGTGTAGCAATTTGTTTTATGAGATATGGAGATTCTTTTTTCAGGAATGCTGTATGTAATATTTTTTACAATGGTGGTTTGTCCCATTTGTCATCACAGTCAGTTTGACAAATTATAACTTGAATCATCTATATTAAAAGCAATTGTATAAAAGGGTTCAAAAACATCTGCAGCGAGAGCTATAAAAGCTTTAAAATATTTCAATCTCTACAGTATGTACACAATCAAACATCAGGAACTTGTTCAAAAAATGTGAACTACTCAACACACAAAAATAGTGCAAATGGCTGTGATCAAACCTTTTTTGAATGATACAATTATTTATGAAGATAGCTCTTGTTCCTAAGACTTGGCTGGTTGCTCCTCAATCCCATTTGAGGCCAAGACCTCAGACAAACGAGTCAAATATGTGGAATCTGGGTAACCATTCCTGAAAGAGACACAAATAAAAATGTTCAGCTTTAGGTACATGGACTAATGTGGCCTAAACTCTACAGCTCTGTTTTCTCTTTGACATCCACACTCACGCTGATTTGTCTCCATGTACGGTGGTCTTGTGTGGGATGCCGTCCCAAGCGACCCTGGCCTCTGTGTCTTTGCCTGTCACTGTGAAGGTGAGTCCTTGCTTAAAAGCTTTCTTCAGCCTGGGCACCAGCTTCCTCGTGTTCTCGCTGTCGGGAAGGTAGGCTTCAAAGGTACCTCCTTGAAATGGTTCTCCTGGAGAAGGGTGATCCTCCTGGTGAGGCGGAAAGCAAAGACCATGGTCGTAAACAAAGTCTATAGATATTAAGTATTGTTATTAAAGCTCTATGTGATACATAGCACACACCATTAACAAGAAACTCGTACAGAACGGTAACTTCTTATGCACAATATCACAGTCTATTTTTCAGTGCATGTCAAAAAGCAATTATAGGCCTATCTTGGCTTAATTGTTGAGTGTCTATAGTAAAATACTATATCTTAACATCTAAAAGCATATATATATATATGGTTAACTGAAACTGAGGTACAATAACAATATAATGATCTGTTTCTTTCAACTCCAGGAAGTCCTCTATCCGATACGACAATTATCAGTGAGTTTAAAATAAGCCACTCACCCCTTGGATACCATCAGGAATGATGTAAGTGATCTTGATCGCAGAGTCTTTTGTGTGACCTGGCACGCTGATATTTTTTCTACAGAAGGTCATTTCCCCCTGGATGCCCTGCTTATGACAAACTCTGCAGTGGGCATGGACAACGTCCAGGCACTTGGAGCAGAAGGCAGCACCACACTTAGTTTTCGTCAGCATCTTACTCTCACCACACACACAGACGCACCCTTCTGGATTTGATCTGGATTCCTCTGTGTCTGGGACCATGGTTTGTCTTTGCTGTACACTGTCCTCCTGTTTAGAATGGACAGTTCTCTCCTGCTTATGGAGGTCTTCATCAGCAGGGGTTGTTGTTGACTCAACATCATTCACATGACTCACAGGTCTATAATTTCCTGCTTTATAGTGGTTGACAAATGTCTTAGTCTTCTGTCCATCTATCTCCAATGTGTTTACAATTTTCACTTTCTCTTTTATAACAGTGTCTTTCCTCACTGACGGCTGACTAATAGCTCCATTCACAATATCTGTCTCAAAAATGACCCTTCTGTGGTTTGCTGTTCTTTCCTGACTGTCAGTTCCATTTGCTTTGCCTGTTGGGTTGTTTAGCATCACCTGAGGATAACTGTAACTGTGAAGGCTCGTATTTTGGTCCTCGTTCATTTGTAAAAAAGTGGATGGATTACAGTCAGAGGTAGAGGGGCCAGAGAAGTCGTGTTGTTCAGGTATCTGGGCCGAATCTCCAGTAAATACCTCAAGCAAAGACGCAGCTACCTGAGAACACAAAGTTTCTGGGCCGAGGAGAAATAAGCTCTCTTTTACAATCTGCAACACAACCTTTTTGAAGCGGCTCCGAACCTCAGCACAACAAGCCTCCAAGGTTTCATCTGCTGTGTCAGTGATACCCAACTCTGACAAACGCAGCTGCTGCACATAAAAGTCTACACTAACTGAACCAACCAGCTTCTCTAAACCTAGCAGACATGAACTCACTTTGGATGAGTTTGCTCCTCTTAAGGTGACAGTCAGATTACCAATGCCCCCTGAGCCGATCTCTTTCATCAGGACATCAGAAGTCAGGTCTTCCACTCGGGTCCTGAAAGCCTCTTTTATATACTTCCACATCACATTGGAAACTGTAATATCTGCATTGTAGACTTCCAGCTTGTCCCTCCCTGTTTGGTTGCTGAAGCTTGAGGACCTGCCCCTTGCTCTTACTGTAGGCTTGCCAGAGTCGTCTTGACTCTTCTGACTCATAACTTGCGCCTTCTGCTGCGGCGATCCTGAGAAACTACTGGCTCTCTTCAAGGTGGAACCAGACCCAGCAGGTGGAAGCGGAGGGCCTCCTGACAAACTGGTGGTGCTAAGGGGGGATGTTAAAGACTTTGGTCGAGTATCAACTGAATGCGAGTTTAAGGAGGTTTTATTCTGCATGGAAGAAGTTGAAGGCAAAGCATCTCCACTCCTAAACAAGATGTCGCCTCCAGTGTTTTGGGCTAATGCTCTGGGGACACTCTCACCAGAAACCCCTGCTGTTTCTGACAGCACATTTTGCCCTAAAATTGGCCCCAGGCGTGGTTGTCTACTAGGAGATGAGAGCCCTCGTAAGGTGAAGTCAGTGGGTCGACGGCCTAATGCAGCAAGCCCTGAGTCCTTAAAGCGAGCGGCCAGTTTATACTTTCTGGCTCCTTCAGCTTTGCACCCATCCTCCTCTATCCTGTCATCCAGAGAAGAGGACACAGTCAGGGGAACATTAAACTCATCTGCATGAGTTGATGAACCTGAATATGAAGGATATTTAAGAAGACTGGCTACATTCTCTTTTTTACCTATCACTTCGACAGGGTCAAGGAGAAGAAAATGCTTGGCCTCAGAAACATCACTACTACTCCCAATAATATAAATATTTTGGTCATCTTCGTTCAGAAGAAGCTTAGGAAATCTGACACTTAAGTCCTCCATGGCCTTTTGCAGTCCACCCCTGAGAGACAGGATATTCTTGGAGAGCTGGCCTCGCCGGATCTTCTTCTCATTCTCCTGGTAAAGACTACTTATTGCCTGTCTTGCCAATTTTAGGCGTTTCTGATCTTCACCACCCTCCTCCACTCCAACTTTCAAAAACAGAGTTGTCAACCCATGATTTGTCATATCCACTACATCAACACTATACTGACTAAGGATATGTTGGTATTCCTTTCGGCAGTGTTTTTTCAGATACTCAAACATGTCTGCATCCAAAATGAGTGACAAATCCTCCCCTGATGCCGTAGGATGCCCAGGAAGCTGCAAAACTGGACCCTCTATCTGGTCATTATTTTCCAGGCCAGAACCAGCAGGTGTCAGCGGTTTACATGAGCTAGAGTTGTTCTCATCATAAGGCATGCCAAGGTCAACTTTCTCTCTTTTTTCTCTCTGCTTAGATGATTTCCTGCTCAGATCTTCTGACTCCAGAGTTTGAGGCTTCTGTGCTATCTGAACAGACCTGGAGCCCCTGGTGGCAGGTTGACCTGAGTCTTTGTTTGCTGCTGATTTTGGGCCTCCAGGATGACCCAACAGCTGTTCCAAAGCTGCCTGGACTTTTGAAAAGGCGCCATGCAATGTGCATAATATCTCAGTAGCATCATGGCTTATCTTGATTTCAGGGTGGCTTTTGTGAAGGCTTGACAGTGCCAATAATCCCCCAGGAAGCTGGCTGTAATCAACAATTGCTGATAAATGTAAGATGACCTATGGTGAGGGAAGAAGACCGACAACAAATCATTTATGGATTTTATATTCAGCACTTGGTAACATATCTTTTGAAATTCTACTTAGGTATACCTTGTCTGGGTCCAGGCTTTCGTTGTGCTTAATAACAACGACTTTATACTTCTTCCCATCCACTTCCAGAAGATGCGGGCTTTGTTCAATAACTCTCTGTGCCACTGTGAAAGGGGTCATCAGTCAGAAATCAATCTCAATCTGTGAAGCATCCTGACTAAGCTCTTAACCATTGGCTATTCCATTGACTTGCATGTCAACATTTCAGCTTTGTCTAAATCACTGGTAAGAGAAAAAGTGGTGAAGTATATTACTAATACCTTGCAATGTACAACTACATTTTTAAGTCTTTAGAGTAAAAGTTAATGAAGCATGTGACGTTCTATTGCAACCTTGATAATGTAATAATCACTATTTTTACACCAATGTACTGGAATCACATAAGCATGCAGAAGAATCCCCCTCCTTGTAATTCATATGCATAGACATGCACACACCCTGATCTTACTGACCTCCACTGTCCTCAAAGGTGATGAGGGCAGAGATGGGCGTTGCCTTGACAATAGTGACAGAATTTATTTCCCCTCCTCCATTCCTGGCTCTCAGAAAGTGGATGAATAGCTTGTCTTTCAGCCTCTCATCCTCAATGTCTGCGGGCAGACCACTCACCCTCACAGTCTCAGCCATCTGCTGGGAGAATCATTGCAGTTAAAAAGAGTGACTGCCCGAAGATAACATAATTCTTCAGGAATGGTGAGTGTGAATATCAACAGAATGAAGAGAAGAAGATCAAACACAATAGCCCTTCATTAAGATGTTAATGTAAAAGTCAGCCATTCACGAACCCCACCCCTGCAAACAGGGAGGAGGAGACTCAGACCCGGCACCGTGGGATGGCCAGGCCCTCCCATTTGACATGCCTGCCCTCCCCCAATAAACACGTTTTTTATTATTCCCTAATTGTTTTTTTTTATTATAAATAAACTGTGAACTTTAATGCTACGATGTATGTGATGTCAGATAGTAATATAAGAGTAATAAATGAAAAACAGGTATGAAATAGCCTACTATATGACAGTAAAACAAGAATACAGTTTAAAAGGAGAGTGATTTGTAAAATATCCATAAAGAAATAGAAAATCTGTTTACAGTTCTGTTTCATATGGGTGTTGAGAGATGTATCCATAGATCTCTTAATTTTGCTCTCAAAGTCCACCAGCAGATTGATGCTTTTAACTTCAATATTTAAAAACAAATCCTCCCGGGGGAGCATGCCCCCGGACCCCCCTAGAGAATGTTAGGTCCACCCCCCACTTAAAAAAAATAGCACTTTGTCCCTGCTTACCTATATGCCGTGAGCTGATTATCGAGCCTTCATTGTAACAGTCGCGGGTGTACTGTGCGTGTGGGGAGTGTTGCAGCCAGTAGAACATTCCACTGTAGCGCCGGTGCATTAATGGGAAACCCTACTATATTTGAGCACCCTCTATGAAACGTCAAGCTACCCCACAGTACCCCCAAAAGAAAATATCTGGCGTCGACACTGGCCGGGGAACATGACGGTTTTGTGTGCCCTCCGCCCTCCCATGAAAATCATATGCCCTCTGTAGATTTGTTCTGGCGCCGGGTCTGGAGGAAATGTGTGATAATATAGCACCCTCTATTGGGGATTACCGAGACACTACATCAACATTAAAAAACGTCCATTTCAGGTGCCTTCCTCGACTTTTTTTGAATTTCTGAGATTTTTAAGGTGTCCTCTCCATTTCATCTAAAGCGGTTTCTTTAAAACATTGACGTAATCTATGATATACGATCATTAATTATCTGACTACCATAACATATATTTACTATGTTGTAAGAAAAAGGTGTTGCAACCCCTTTTTTGGTTCAAATCCCCTCTTGCAATATGAAATTCAATGTGAACATTTTGAATAGAAATTGCAAATTGATACAGATGAAGATAACGCCCCGTCTTGCTCATTCCCATCAACATTTGCTGCTGTCGTGTTGGCAATGCTTGACAAATTACAAAATAATAAATCTCTCGTTTTAAGCATTTGTTTTTCCCACAATAGATATTTCGTGAAGTTAATAATATTGACTTGAAATCTAAATCTAAACGCTCTTCTCTATCCAGCCATCCAGTAACATATGTGCAAAACATCGAGTGTTTGTTGTTACAGGAAGTCCAAAATACATGTAAAAGCGAGCATGAAAGACACATTTGCAGAGCTGGGTATCAAGGAAGTGAAAATATTCCGACAAATCTGCCTATCGCATTATCGATGTATCCTCCGTTTGCACCCGACGCTGTTATTACCTGTCACAATACATCTCGTATATCTTTAAAATTGTTAGAGATTACTGACCTTACAAATGTTTCACGGCGGTTTTCGCTATCTTTCAAAGGCCGTCACACTTTACAAGCCATGCAGGAAAAGTGAAACTACAGAGTAATGTGTAATGCATCATGTCCACGTTAGGGGGCGATCAAGTGCTGTTTGACTGCGCCTTACAAGATGAGAGCATAGGTGGATGAGAGTAACACCTACGTCACTTCCGGGCAAAAAATACGGCCCCGCCCACTTTTGGGGGAAAACAACGCTGTCATTTGAATGGCGGTCAATACAAATTCTGAAGTTTTTGCCCATCCGATCAATTTTTTTTGAAAACCATGGATTTTTGGATCTTCAAAGAGCTCGATTACGATGGCCAGTCAGGCAAACAATTACATTCGATCATTGGTAATCGACAATCGGTCTTGATATATGGTTAAATTAAAATCAGTAGGCAAGGCTGTAATTTCTCCAGCTGTTACTCTCATGAGTGAGGCAGAACATAATAGTTTTATCATGCCAAAAAGCTGCTGTGTCGTTTATTGCACCTCAAACATTAAAACAAATCCAGAGTTACGTGTTTCTGTACTTCCTCTAAGAAGAAAGGACAGTAACAGAAGATCTCTGTGGCTTCAGGCTCGATCGCCATTCAAATGACAGCTAACAGCTGTGTCCCAATTCAGAGGCTGGGTCCTCCTGAGGACCCAGCCTCGCAGTCCGCGGAGGACCCAGCTTGGGTCCTCGACGGAGCATGTCCTTGTACGTCACCGGCAGTTACCCCTACATTTTGCTGCCCCCGTCACCTAGCAACCAGCTGCAGTCACAAGTGCCGGTAATAATTTCTGACACTAGGCAAAATATTTTCAAACTGTTTTAAAACTGTTTTCAAAACTGTTTTCAAAACTGTTCAATATGGAGTCAGATCTAGCTGTACTTATTTTGGTGTTATGTTTAAATTATTTTCTCGAGGTCGCAACAGGCCCCCGTGAAGAGGGCTTCATTCTCCCCGCGCATCTGGATAAATTGCGCAGTCTGCTCCTTGCTCCCTATCAAAACAAAATTGTTGCAGTAAGATTTGTATAACAAAAGCAGTTAAATAAATAAATTAGCTTTATAATGAATCCCAACAATATGAAAACCAAACAGGGTTTAGAAATATTTTCACTTCATATTATTTTATGTATGTAATATAAAGAAGACATCTCCAATTGCCCGTATATTTAAATACACAAATTAAATAGGTTTACTTTTCTTTCATGTCGTTTACTATTTGGGTGAGTACATTTAAAAACGAATCCAGCTGAAACCGTTGTAGCCGTTGATGGGACGTTACAAGCCATATATTTTTTTTAAAACTCATTCGTCACCGTCACCCGTTGCATCCTGGGATATGGTACACCGTGGAGTGTACATCAGATGTATCCTCTAAATCTGGGGAAAGAAGGCTGCATTTGCGGGCCGCATTCGGAGGAGTCTTGTCTTTTTTTAAAAATTGGGACAGCCTTCGTTTGGCGGAAGTGACGTATGCCCCAAAAGTGGGCGGGGCCGTAAAGTGACGTAGATGTTACTCTCATCTATGAAAATAAATAGCCTACTGCTTTATTTAACCATATATCGAGCCCGATCGTCGATTTCTAATGGCTTAATGCAATTGTTTGCCTGTCTGGCCATTGGAATCGGGCTCTTTGAAGATCCAAAAATCTCCGGTTTTCTTACATTTCTGATCGGATTGGCAAAAACTTCAGAATTTGTATTGACCGCCGTTCAACTGACAGCATTGTTTTCCCCCAAAAGTGGGCGGAGCCGTTATTTTTGCCCGGAAGTGACACATTTGTTACTCTCATCTATAGGCCTACTTCAAAGTAGACCCATTAGATTTTTGTTGTGACCCTTTAAGGGGAATTTGAAGTTTAAAACTCTGGATTAAATTACTCTACTTGAGCCTATATAAAGTAAATAAAGCTAGCTCCACCTTAATGCATTACAAACATTACATGGTACTTACACATTGTTGCATTGGTGTTAATAATTGTATGCGTACTTTACTGTTGACACATTATTAGGTGGGAGTTTGAATGCAGGCCTTTAATTGTAATACATATATTAGTATAAAAGAATACTTTGTACACTTGTGAATTTGTATTTTACTTAAGAAAATATCTACAAATCAACAACACAAGTTCAAACAATTCTCTAATTTACTTTATAGTTAATTAGTTAACTAATTGTGCTGTATTTTGCAGGAATACAAAGAAAGGCACACATAATAGATCTCTGAAAGGAAATAACTTTGCCTAGCTGTCAGATATAAGTACAATTCTGTAAATTACAATGACAACAGTTACACAGTGAATAGATAAATGGGGTTATTGACCAATATTCCGATTGTAAAGTAATACCCTTTACTACATCCAAAAATTATTAAAACAACTTGTGTGCAAAGAGCAAAGTGTGGTACTTATTAAAGACGATAAGGTCTTCCCAGACTCTAAAAACAGTAGGGGGCAGTAATGCACATTACAATGAATGTCAATCCCTTTGGAGAGTAGTAGAATAAGAGATTTGCGTTTTGTCCAATCAGAGGCTACTTTGCTACATCCATTGCGCATGCCCAGTGGAGCAGATATTTCATGTGTTGTACGTACGTCGGTGGAGGTCACAGACATCTGAACAAAACTGAGGTGAGTTATAACATGCAATGTCTCAGTGTCACTAAAAATGCTTGATTGTATAGCCAAATATATGCAAGGTAGTAATTACAAAAAAAACTGGAGGATTATTTTATATATGTCGTTATATCAAAAGGGTTGCGAACACGAGCTTCCAGTTTGGATCAGAGATGTAACATGCGCACTGTCACCCAGCTGACTGTGCTGATACACGCTTTATTCTAGTTTAAACGTTTTTTAAATGTTGTATGGGTATATTTGAACATTTCGCAAACTCTTAAGCTACAGTGGTCGGTTTAGTCGGCTTAGCTTGCTAGCTACTTGGTACACAGCTAGCTGATAAGCTAATGCTAGCATGTGAGCTACATTAGCTAACACCCACAGCCTTGGCATCTTTCAGCATAAGGCCAAGGACAAATGAAATAGTACTGGATAACAGAGATGCAAATGGCTTTCTAAACAAATCTATCTCAAATGCGTAAATCGTTTACTTTGTGTATTAATTGTTTCAACTTTTTGTCCTGGTTAGTTGCTAGAAGGAGATTTGCTATCATGGCCAAGCTTTTCGAGACTATTGGGAAGTTGGGGCTGGCAGTTGCCATCGGTGGAAGTGTTATGACTTCTGCCCTTTTCAATGGTGAGTGCTGGTCAATTGGACAACTTCTAACCTTTATATATACAGTCTATGCTCCTAACACATAAGTGGTTAGGTACCACTAAGCCAGTTTCCCCAATTTGAACACTTATTTCGATTCATTCATGTAATTTTTACTATTCCAATAACACATCGTACTTACTCACTCATCTGTTTAAACTTATAAAAGCAAGTGTGTTGCACCCCACATTAAACTGCTGTAATTTCATATGGTGCTCAGTGAAGTTCAAAATACTGCAACAAAATCAAACACATGTATATTAACAGAATTATACAGAGTACACATTGTAGAAAAAAAACAAGAATTTGACAGAATGCATTACAAATGTTCATTTTTAAACAATTAAACACTTTATGCTACACACAAACCTCTTGGCCGGGAGTTTAACTATTCTTCTTTCTTTAGTTGATGCAGGGCACCAGGCTGTGATATTTGACAGGTTCAGAGGAGTGCAAGATATTGTTGTTGGTGAAGGGACCCACTTCCTCATTCCTTGGGTTCAGAAGCCCATCATCTTTGATTGTCGTTCCCGTCCACGCAACGTCCCTGTCACCACAGGCAGCAAAGGTACATCAATCATGAACTAAACCACTGTAATGTTATTTTTGCTCATAAACATGTCTCTTAAACCTCAGGAAGCTTTATCGGTTATTTGTGAATTCCACATTCCTCTTGGAAAGGCTATTGGGTCGGAAAAAAAAGCTGGCACAACTAACATCTAGAGTTCCCTAATAAAGAATGCTATGAATGTTAACGTTTTATCTACAAACTTTGCAAACATGACCTATCAATGCAACTCAAACTGTACGCTAGGGGTGCAACAACTAATCCACTTAATCGATTAAAATCAATGACCAAGTTAGTTGCCAACTAATTCAGTCGTTGATTCGTTTGTGACGTCATAACGTGTGTTTTACATGCCATTAAGCTCCACCGTTATCGGTCTCTTTATCTGTACTGGAGAGATTTAAAACATGTCATATGTATTATTGCTACATAAACATTATATCGCAGTCTTAGTGTCGCAAACTCCGTTTCAAATATGCAATAAGACTACAAAATGCGTCTTGTTGTATTTTCGATCTTTCCAATCCAGACAAGAGATCTCTCTCCCCCGCCTGCTTGCGAGGGGGCGGGGCAGTTTACACACACGCAGCTGCTACATGCAGCAACACACACACGGCGGAGAGAAGCGCTCCAAGGTGTGGTTCAACTTTACCCGTCTCGATGTGGACAATGCTCGTTGCCAAAAGTGCAAAAAGAGTTTAGCATGTAAGGGCGGTAACACGAGCAATTTGTCTAAACATTTAGCAAAAGTGCACCACATTCAGACGGAGAAATGCACAGTTTTCGACTGTCTTTCTAGTAGCTCTGTAGCCCCTCTGTATAGTCAGGTATTATGTATGCTAGCAGCAACACACAGAGTTAACTAAATTATACAAACATGGGTTAATGATTAGAGGTAACTGAGTTATTTATTTGGTTAAAGTTTCAGCTATTCTGTTTACAGTTCTGTCATCACATTATTTAATACAATTTGTTAAAACATTCTTGTTTCTTTTGATTTGAAATATTATTTATTTAATTTAAATAAAAAGCAATGTTAATTTTGTTCACAATTTTGTTTAGTTAATTTACCTTGTTTATTTTTCAAAAGAACTGATAAGAGTACCGTTAAAAGAACGGATCGATAAGCGGTATCGATAAAAGTAGTAGTACCGTTAAAACCTTAACGATACCCATCTCTACTTGACAATGTGAAAAAGGTTGTCTTTTATCTGATCTGATCTGCTATCCTTGGTTTAAAATGTTGACGGACAGATGTTTTATTTCTTTCAGCAGAAAGTTTAATAAAATGTATTTTTGAATCAAGTATTCATCTTATTTGTCTTCATTGTTAGTTTCAACATGCCAATTTGCTTTCGAATTCCCATCCCTAGTTTGTATTTGTTTTACTTGTAGTCTAATGTGTGCTGTAAAAATTAAACTTTAAAAATTCCCCCCACAGATCTGCAGAATGTAAACATCACGTTGCGTATCCTCTTCCGGCCGGTCACCAACCAGCTACCACGCATCTTCACCAGTATTGGCGAGGATTATGACGAAAGGGTGCTCCCATCCATCACCACAGAGGTCTTGAAGTCTGTGGTGGTAAGAGTCATTCAAGAGTAGTCGCAAATAAAAAGATGACTGTTTTTGTAATGAGTGATAGTTAGCTTATAAACTGATTCCTCCACTATTTTATTTTTCCACAGGCTAGGTTTGATGCTGGTGAGCTCATTACCCAGAGAGAGCTTGTGTCTCGTCAGGTCAGTGATGACCTCACAGAAAGAGCCAACACCTTCGGCCTCATCTTGGATGACGTTTCACTGGTATGAAGCTGCTGACAAATTCTGCAACACTGTCCAGCTTTTCCTTTTTACTTGGATTTTAACTTTAAGAAACAACTGTTTGTTTTGTATTCTTTCAGACACACTTGACCTTTGGCAAGGAATTCACAGAGGCTGTTGAGATGAAGCAGGTTGCCCAGCAGGAGGCTGAGAGGGCCCGTTTCATTGTAGAAAAGGTAATTATTTTTAAACCCTGTTCTACTTGTTTTTTACAGAAATGTCTATGTATGCAGTATACTCTCTATTGGGGAAAAGGTGAAAGCTTGAATTACAGTTTTTGTGGCAGCTCTCAAAAATGGTTTTGTCCTTTTTTAGGCAGAGCAACAGAAGCAGGCGGCCATCATCTCAGCAGAGGGTGATTCCCAGGCTGCGTTGCTAATCGCCAACTCCCTGATGCTAGCTGGTGATGGTCTGGTAGAGCTGCGTAAGCTGGAGGCAGCTGAGGAAATCGCTTTACAGCTCTCCCGCTCCCGTAACGTCACTTACCTGCCATCCGGACAGGGCACATTGCTTCAGTTGCCCCAGTGATAACTTCTCACATCATGTCTAGCCCACTATCGCTGTCACAGGCTGTTACAAGGGCCATGGAATGGGTGGTTGAAGTGTTAAATAAATGACTCAACTTCACACACATTCCTCCAACTCTTTCCAAATCTGGACTGGGCTCTGTTGATAGCAGGATGGTAGGAGACAAAGTGAGAGGTCCGCGACGGATACAATAATGAATTCAACCCATGTGTAAGGAAGTTGAGGTTAACCTTCTATATATATATATATATATATGAATATATATAGTGCCCGCATAATAGACAATGCAGTACATTATCTTAAGATTCATCTTTGCTACATTGTTTCAGAGCACTGGATGTATTTAAAAAAGCAACAGATTGATTTTAACACCAAGGGAGAACAGTTTGATTGCTTTTTAAGATAAGGTGATCAATTGTGAATGCTAAATGCCATTACTCTGTGATTTCTGCTGGAATGTTCCATCAAATTGTGTAACTGTATATTCAGATCTGTAATGAAAGGCACTCCTTGTGATTCCAGGAACAATCTACTTTCTAGCAAATTATTTCTTCGTGAATAATATTGCTATACCCAAATAATTGGAACGTGCCTACTTGGTAATGATCCTTCATTATTTTCAGTTGTTTCTTTAGTTTGTGTGGACAATGTGTATGCCCCATGTCACAGAAATGACTTAACAATAAATGTGTCTATCTCCCAAGTTCTCACACTTCTTGTATATGTATAATCCTAATCACCACAGGAGGGTGTGTCAAAATATATCCCCATTTAAAAAAAACAAAGAGTCATTTGCACTGTTTAGTTGCAAACATTAAAACTATGCAACTGATAACTATTAGTGTAATACAAATATATTTAAGAAGCGATGGTTTATTTGAATCAAATAACTACATTTTAAATGTATTATAAAATATTCATTTTAAACCCGTATCCTATGTATGATCGCGAATGTTATTTATCTCTTTAAGTATCATGCTGGAGTCTCAAGAGGCAATTGTGAAATACGTAAAATAATTTACCTGGAAGCGCTGAAAACACTAAGTTAAGGACCAAACACCAAGCTATCAAATTCGTGAGGTATGAAAAAAATATTAAGATAATAGTATAATTAGAATAAATGAATGACACTTGCAAAGGATTTCTCCTTTGAGGGGATAAATCGGTCCTCAGGGTCTTCTCATTATTTCATTAATCGAGGATTTCACCTCAGCGCGTGTGCGCGCATCGTCCCCTGTCTGGTTTGGAGGGGAGACCCAGACACGCTGACGCGCGCCTGCCCAGACAGCGGCCTGAATGCCTGGGATGAGCGCGGGACGGCGGTGGTACGCGCGAGAGCTTGGCCGGGCCACGTAGCGGGGCTAAAGACACCGGTAAGCAGGTACCTCCGCAGCGTGCACATCAACAGATAACTTTAAACATTTGCAGAAAGATTAGATTATTGGCTTCTCTTAATGCACATCCGCAGATGTAAAGAGAGTGAGCGAGAGAAGTGCGCGTGCAAACCTGAATCTGTGCAACTCTGATCGCACGAACGCAAGAGAGAGGTCGTATCGACGGAGGTAAGCCAGCAGACCGACAACAAAATGTTTCAATATAACTTACTTGTATGCACTTACATGTATGACAAGCATGGCAGCTGCTAGGAGAGAAAATACGTAGTTCGCTGGTGGACGCAGCTACGGTTAGAAATGTCGGTCAGCTCGGCTAGCACTGACTTGGTGACAGTGTCGAGTTGAGTGGGTTTGTCAGAAACGTACAGCAGCCCGGGTTTTGTCAGCAAAGCGTTGCTTTTCATCTTGCACGACAATAAATATTAATTGATAACAAAGCATGACATCGCTTCTTCATCCAGCTTCATATGGGTCCGATAGCTGTCATACTTTCCCCTTCAAAGTGCAGCCGCGAAATTAAGTGTAAGGTTAATGCTAAATATCTGACGTTATTGCTAGCTCTTAGCTAACTAGCCGAAATCTGGGCGGTTTGGGGTAAAAAAGTGAAAGTCTTGTATCTGTTGTTAGCTAATGCATGTTAGCAAATACTAGCCATAAGATGGTACAGCTTGTGCATATTAACATGATTCTTGTTGAGGTGGAGTAACCTTTCCCTGCACTATAATGTCTAATGGCTGCACCTTGAGCTAATGTAGCCAAGTTAGCTTTTCATGTGTGTGCAGGTTAGTACCTATGGAGTATTGCTAGCTAGCTAAGTAGCCTAAGTTGCCCAGGCCTGCACAATGTTACTGCTGTTCGGTGTATAGTGTTGCCTTTTGATTTAACCCTTCCTTTGCTTCGTACGCACGTTAGCACCTAGGCTTGTAGCTTAAAAGATTTCCCTCAGCAAGATTCAGCTATAAGACCAGAAAGTAGCTCCTGCACTATATTACGTCATACTTGCCAAATGTATGTAGTTTTTAGTAACCTTGTTCGCCAGAAATAGTAAGCTTGTTTGACCTTATCCACCCGTTTGCATTTCATTCATGTCTCATGTTAACAGACAAAAACACATTTTAATCAAAAGAGCCACATTGAATTGGCCCATGTTATCTTTCCTCTATTTATAACAGAGACATCAAAGTTGTGGATATCAGTGGACTGCTGTCAGGCCTGACTCTGGGCAGTGATGAAAATAAAGAACTTGGAAAGGGATAGCTTGGCCTAAGATAATACAACATCACTTTTACTTTGATACCACTGAGTTATACCATGACAAAAAAACTTGGTACTGCTCTATGAACTTATTATGGGCTTCAGGGCCAAATACTTACAGAGGCATGGAGCACCCCTGCAGTGCACCACACAGTGAGCTGGTTAAGGTCTCATGAGTTTGGACAGAGTGAGGAATGTGAACCTTCACATGGTCCTCCTCAAGCTGCGAACGGGAAAGCTCATTAAAGTCTAGACTTTAGTGGGAGCATGGATTTGAGGAGCAATGCTGCATAATAGGAGGTAAATGTGACACATTTCGAATGCTTCAGAGGTCTCAACTGCTTTACTGTCACAAGCCAAGCATTAGTGAGCACTGTTTAATTCTGTTAGTTAAAATGTTATACAGTGCCTTTTTCCCATCCTGTGTCATTCAAATCGTAAGCCACAGACGGATCTATCCTGCATATGACTGGCGTGGCTTTGTGGCTTACCCTATATTAAATTAGTTATGCTTTCCTCATGTCTCCGTAGCATGATTTGAGGAAAGCTATAAATTGGTTATTGTTGAATAAACTTTGATTTATGGGCAGGATTTGCTGAGCATTAGTTATGCTTTGGATTATTTAAATTGGCTGTCGGAGAGACGGTTATTTATAAACGTTTCTCTTTTTTGCAATTGGGTGCAAAGTTCTTCTTTGAAAGCTGTCCAAACTACATAAAGGCAGTCACAAATAATCATCATTGCTATAGGTTTAACCTTCTGATCTGACAAGGTGATTTTGTTCACTAATTACCAGTGATATTGAGAAGTCTGCACTCTACCTGATTCCCACATCAAAGGACTGCATTATTTCGCTGTGAGTGAAACTTCAAAATGACTCATCATTGAAAATGATAAGCTGGTGGAAGGGTTTTTACTCCATATCCGTTACATAACCACACTGTGTGTTTGTTTATTTGCAACAGTGCGGTTCTCTTGGGACCGTTTTAAGCAGAGAATTTTGAACTTTTTATACTTTTATTGTATGTGGCATATTAAATAAAATCCTTAAGTGAGCTGTCGTTTTCATTCAAAAACTCAAATTAAAAGAGAAAGTGACAAGCTGCACGTGAAGTCGGGTTCAGGCAATGGGTTCTCTTGCAATTGATATTCCTCTGTCATCCAGGCGCAGGATAATGCATTTGGCTTTGTGTCTAAGACAGCCATGTGAGTTGAGTTGCTCTGTCAGTGCAGAGCTCGCCCTCCCCTTGTGGTCTTAATGTTCTCTGAGCTCCTGCCCAATTCTCGGAAAGGATCAAAGTCAGCATGCACAGGAAGACAGGTGTGTCTGTATGTGCTTATATTCTACAAGAATGGCCTTATACTTGCCGAAGTGGTGGAACATATTCACATGCATCTAAATTATGTTTACATACAGTATATTTATGCTTGAATTTGTCCTACCTTGCATTTCATTCCAGTCTAGTGAGATGAGGGAAGTGACACGAGGAACAGGAGATTCAGTTCAGGGTTTACCAGAGATTATAAAAATAAACTGATAATGAATTTGACCCGAATTTAATTTCAGATTGAGTACAAAGAGACAAATATGTGTTGGTATTTAAACCTCAGTAATAACGTGGTATTGGTGGATGTAGTAAAAGTAAGGCACCACAATTGAACACTTTCTAGGTGGCAAATGTTGCTCCAGAAAAACAAAAGATGCTTTTTGAAAATTGTGATCATAGCTCTCCAAATGATGAAGCTTAAATCTTAGCTGTCGTTGCATATTTCAGCTCTACACTCATTATGTCACTTTTGATCCCTTATAGTTCCCTCTTGCTTATTCTTCTGGCACTGTGACTGCAAATTGACGGCTAAAACAAAGTCATCTTTATGGGTCTGTTTGCGGGATGTTTCATTAAGAAAGTCCCCTTATGGCTATTTATGTTTTCTTTGTAGACAGAGGAATATAACATAAAATGTTTGTGATTACACAGAGGGTGGATGTTTTTCTTGCTCAGGGAGGGTTTTTAGTGAACAAACCACTCTGGTGACGAGTAGGGTGTAAGGTTGTTTCAGGTCAAGCAAACGGCAGCCAGTTTCACATCATCTTAGATTTATGCATAACTTAAAAACATACCCCAAAGCACCATGTCATAAAAGCACAAATGTTTTGATTTAATATTGTGTTTTTCCTTTTTAACCTGCATAAACAAAGTCATTATAATGCAGGCTCCAAAGTGCAGTGCTTCTTAAGCTTCATTGAAAAGTTGAAATACAGTTTCCTGTGGTTGTACGTCTGTGAACTGCAACACAAGCTCCTGAGCTGCGGTTACACTATGCTCTCTAACAGTCTATGGGCGGTGTGTTCATGTGCGTGTGTTGTAATGCTTAGAGAAACTGAACAATCCAAAAAATAAATGTCTTTATGAAACGCTCAGATAATATATGTAAATTGAGGGGATATGAAACATACTTATTATCAAGTAACATTTTGAAAGGGACAACTTATTATGGCCTAGTATAAGAACCAGATTGTTGTACAGTGAATGAATCTGTGAAGTAGTGGACGACTGATTTGGGTTTTTCTTTTTTTTTGCATCTGACAAAATGCAACAAATGAGACGAGGTCATTGCTGAAGTTGTATGAACATTTTGAATAGTTTTATTATTTGCAAAGTCTCTATTTGTTTGTCTTGCACTCATCCTATTTTTAAATCAAAAAGGTTTTACATTATTTATGTATTATGGTTTTTAACTCTAGAAGGAAACCATTTCTGCATTTTATTTAGTAGGAAAGTGTTGATATTACTCTGTTATTTAAATCCACTCACATTCATTTCTGAATGCTGTGGTTTTGACTCCTACACACACAACTGAAACATTTGTGGGCAAATGTGGAACTTAGTGTTTATTTGATAATGTGGCTGTAGTTTCAGTTCACAGACACAAAAGAATGGAAAGTACTTTTTTCTTAATCGATCTATGTTTCTTCTGTCTTATCTCGTAGGTAACGCACTGTGAATGTCTCTTCAAGCAATACAGAAGTCCTAACATCAGTGCCATGGCGGGCATCCAGCTCATACTTACCTGCTCTGCAGCCTGAAGACTCTGGCACCCTGCAGGGCAGCAACCTTCTGAGAAACTGAATCTATGATCTGCCTTCGTCTTACATACTAACAAGAGGAATTTACCTTCAAATGTTCAGCATCAAAGACACAGATTGATTTTTGCAGTTTGATTTCTAGGCATATGGAACAAAACTTAGAACAGATTGTATGTCTCTCCGACTGCATTTCCTACCTTAAACAACATGGATGCTCTTTTTGAATCAGGTTAACTGTCTGTCGCCTCATCCCCTCCTTCCTGTTTCTTCAGTCGTAGGAGGGTGGGGGATTGGTGTGGCGTCCCCTGCCCCTCCTTTTAAAGTAGGCTAGTCGACCTTTTCCATTGCTCTGTGCTCCCACCAATCTCAATCCCTCCAATTCCTCTTCATGAAATCCTGCAACAGCCTCAAGGAAGAGCTTTCTGTACCTACCTTTGGCGGGATGTCACAGGAGGAAGGACGCAGGGCGCCGGTGTCCCAGTCCTATTTCCACTCCTCTAACCAAGATCTGGACCTGACAGGCAAGCTTTATAAGAGAGAGGTCGGAGGTAAGCCATATTCTGTGTTAGTGGACAATAAAATGGCAGCCAAGGCATCAATAGCAGATCAGAACATTGGTCAGTTGCCCACTCATGTAACCTCACAGCAGTATTTCAGAGAGGCAGGAGGAGGGCAGGAGGCGGGATCCCATGCTGGCAACGACGTCCCCTCTGATGACACTGAAGATGATGATGACGACGACGACGATGAGGAGGAGGAGGAGGAGGAAGAGGAAGAAGAGGAGGGGGAAGATGAGGGCTTCAAGCGGGAGCAGATCATTGTTGAGGTAAACCTGAACAACCAGACACTTCATGTATCCAAGGGAGACAACAAAACTGCAACCACAGAAGACGTCTCTGAGAGAGTAGGCAGCGACGATGAAGACGAGGATGAGGAAGAGGAGGAGGAAGAGGAGGAGGATAGCCTCAATGAAGAAGAGGAGGAAGACGATGAGGAACATGAGATTGAGAGTAGAAGAACGAGGGCAAAGCGGGCCCGTCGTGGTTCCAGCAGCACGGGAGCTCCAAGCCAGCCACGGAGGAAAAGCCTGAGAGCGGCTCTGAGCATGACCACCACTGGGATGACCACCAGGGGCCGGCGGAAGCACCTGGATTCTCCGAAGAGCAAGCGCAGGTCAGCAAGATCGGCCCCGTCGTCTGCAGGTTCCACGGCAACGGGAGGGAAAGCTGAAGTCCAGGAGAAGGAGATGCTGGCGTGTGAAAAGTGCCCTCGATTGTTTAACACACGCTGGTACCTGGAGAAGCACATGAATGTCACTCACAGGCGAATGCAGATTTGCGACAAATGTGGCAAAAAGTTTGTCCTGGAGAGTGAGCTGGCCTTACACCAGCAAACTGACTGTGAGAAGAACATCCAGGTAAAGCAAACTTCCTCCTTCTAATGTTATGTATGTATATATCTTCATTTTCAAATTCATATTTTATTTAGAATGATGGAAAAGTGCATATCCAGGGTTCACCATGTTCTCTTGAAATCATCTTCATGTACCTATAATATACATTTAGCAGCTGCGCAGAACAATTTTACTTTTTAGATTTATTTTGGATGCTTTGATGGCCCTTTTCTGCACCCTAAAGTTAACATTTGAAAATGCAATTGTTGTATTTCCTGTTATACTATAAAGAAAAAACAAGTAATATTGAGATTGTGGTGTGTGTGGTAAGTAAAGAAAACATTACATATAGTAATGATTGTCATATGCTGTCATTGAAGTGTTTAAAGAGGGTTCAATATGGTTTTGGTGATTCAGCATGTTAACTCCCAAGGGACTTGTGGTTATTGTGAGTAGCCTAACTTAGCTCCCTGTTTTGCTTAAATTAATTTGCACCTGAAGTTAGTTTGGGACACTTCTTCTTTTTAAACCATGTCAAGATAACAATGTACACGTTTGCTTATAATTCATTTAACTTAATGGTGTGAAAATAGCATTTATTATTGCAAAAAAAATGTATGTGCTTTTCCTGTCTAGGAGTCAACACTCTTCAACCTTCTTTATTTGGCAAATATGACAATAAGACAGTGTCCATCAAAAATGTTTAATACATCTGTATCTAAATATTTTAGCTTATTTTTGAAATGGGTTAGAAGAAAAATCCTGAAATCTGTCTTGAACAGGCTGACTTAAAAAAACGTAACGTCTGTAATAGAGGTGCTGGTGAGGCGGCCAACAGAGCTCCAGGGTCCATGAATGAGATGAGACGGTGCACACAACTGGGATGTAGCAGAAAGGAGAGGAAGGGGGAAAAGCTCACATGATAACTTTGCAAGTGTTTTGCCAGAAGGTATTTGAGAGATAGTGTGGGTCTTGTTGATATGATGAGACAAACATTTAGCTCTCTGGCCATCGTGCTTGGGTGTTGGTGTGTTTCTATGGTCGTGGGTATGTTACTCTGCAGTGGGCCTTGCAGTCGGAAAAATGACTGCCTGTAACACAGAGCCAAAGCCGAGGCATGGCCTGAAGAGCAATGTCTGTCAGTCTTTATGTAAGACCAGATGACCAAGAATTGAGGAAGTTTTAAAATGAAAGAAATGCAAATGTTCAGAGCTGATACAGATTCAGAATTGTTTTACACTTTATGCAATGTACTTTGAATTGAAGTCTTGCTTTATTTATCAGTGTCTTTTCACAACCATAGTAAATCAGTTTCACAGAACAGAAAACGTCGAAGTGGAGAGAATAGTTCAAAGTTTTAGTTTATACAATTGAATCTGGAATGACATCTACAAGCCGTATAATTATTAATGAAACCCATTAACCTTTGATTTTCTTCCCGAATGACATCTAAGCTATTTCATCTCTTTAGAGCAGGGGTGTCAAACTCAAGGCCCGGGGGCCAAATCCGGCCCACCACTTAATTTGATGTGGCCCACAAGAGTATACTACGTTTATTATAAGGTTACGCGCTGCTTTACAGGATCACGTTGCCCATAAACTACATGTCCCACAATGCATCTCATTTTTTGAGATGCGCACTGAAGAGACTTGCAATTATTTGCCCTAGACTTCTGCTTTCAGACGTAGTTAATTAAGTGATTACCCTATGATAATAATCCAATGCAGAGGAAATATTGTAAAATAATACATTATTTTATATATATTATATATATTTATCTATGTATATTTATATAGTCTTAAAGTTACCACCGGCCCTTTTGAGAGCAACCATCATTCAAATGTGGCCCACGATGACATTGAGTTTGACACCCCTGCTTTAGAGGGTTTTCAGAAAATAAGACTGCTGTGATTTCCCCAGCAGAGGGAGCTAGAGTATAATGAAACAGTTTGGGCCAAATAAGAACAATCTGAAAGCTGCAGGTTTTGGTGCTCATGATGTTTATCAGCAACCAAATCTTGATGTTTTTTCTACTTTATTGTGTCTTTTTAGTGTATCTCCTGCAACAAGTCTTTTAAGAAGCTGTGGTCACTGCATGAGCACATAAAGATTGTGCACGGCTATGCAGAAAAAAAGTTCTCCTGTGAGATCTGTGAGAAGAAGTTCTACACTATGGCTCACGTCCGTAAGCACATGGTTGGTAAGTAAGGGCCTTTATTCAGTCCCTATTGTGCTGCACCCCCATTATATGGCATTCTAGGGAGGTGTGAGCCACCAGGGGACTCTGTTCAGTTGGTTTGAACCACAGCATTCAAATGTATGTATGTAACATTTCTTATTTAAAATCATCAGCTACACTTTCTTTAATTAAATAATGTAGAAGTGTTCTTTATTCATCGAGGCCTTCAAATTGAAAATGTTGATATATTACCTGATCAGTGGTTTGCACTTGTCTCAGTATTCTTTTTGTCTCTCTTCCCCGTTTTCATCCATATCTTCTCCGATCCCAGCTCACACTAAGGACATGCCATTCACCTGTGAGACGTGTGGGAAGTCGTTCAAACGCAGCATGTCTTTAAAAGTTCACTCACTCCAGCATTCTGGAGAAAAGCCCTTCCGTTGTGAGGTAAGAAACGTGTGGCCATATTCAGACATCCTTTATTAACGTGAATCAGATCTACTTGCAATTCATCTTGTGTCAGAGTAACCATTTGTGATGAGCTTACTATGATCGTATCTATTAAACCTAAGGCAGACAAAATATATGTATGCAAATTGTCCCTCGTGATCAATAACATGTTTTCTTTCTTCAAAAATATGCTCTTGGAGCCCAACGGCCTTGCTTGTCTTGTCTAATCTTTCATCCTTTTCACATGCTGTTTGAAATATGTGTTTTTAATTGAACTGTCATTCACATGACAGAAGCAGACAATACGCTTTTTCTAAAGCAGCCTAAATTCCACGGTTTAATAATAAATGTTCTTCCTCTTAATCATGTCGCAATTCAGTCTCCTGCTTGAACAAATATCGGAACCTGTATAGAGTTCACTGGTGGTATGCATTAAGTACTGCTTTTCATTAACACAGACAGACCTAAATGACATCAAGTTGTGTCTTTCAGAGAAAGTCATTTGAACTTTCATCGGATGGTTATATCATCTCAATTTATTCAGAGACGACTAACCGAGTCAATTATGACATGTCTTGTTCACCAATTAACTGGAGCAAAAGATAAATGTGGAACTAAGTGTTCTGTGTTATGAAACAATTTCTCTTATGGGTGCATTTAGTCACATTGTGTCTCAAGGGCAGTAGATTTCCTATTCCTGTCACTAGTCGTGGTTTCATAGGATGTCTACAGGGGCCAGTTTACTCCCCCCCCCAAAAGCCTTTAATGTCCACCACTTGAACATAAGGGAACATGTGTGTATGGGTGGAGCTGCTGTAACTGAATGTTATAAATCATCTTCTGCTGTAACACACTTATCAGGCTGTATGAAATGTATAGGCTATTCTTCATTATGGTCTTAAGCTGGAGTTCCATATGGGAGCTGCTAGACCCCTGTTAGGCTGCACCGCTAGTCCGAGGTGATGCTGAATACAAGTTACAATATCGGAGCATCTATTTTTGGACTTCAAAAATAATGGTGAAATTATAGACATATGTCTTTGAAAACTTAAAGCTCCAGCATATTCTGAAACAGGCCTATTTTGTATGTTAACTCTTCTTACCCTATAAGGCTGCAGGTATGTCAGCTGCTTTTTATTTGATTTATATTCCACATATGGGAAGGATTCAAAATAGGTATTTTTTTATTTACGAAAGACTTTAGTGTTTTCTTTTGTTGTGTCTATGTCAAAAACAGAAATACTAATGACGAAACAGTTTTCTTTAATGTAATTTTTTTTTTTTTAGAAATGCAACAAACTATTTTTTTTGTATATATACAACTATATCATATATATAACTTTGTAAGCGTTGTTGTCATATGTTTTGCGGCTCCACACACGAAATTGCTCTTGTTAAAGGTGGCAGACCCCTGGAATAAACAATAGATGAGCTATTTTGTTTTAGGTGTGACCGATAAGTGTTCCTTGCTTTTCTAACCAGACTAAACGGTCTCAACAAGTTAGAAAATGTATAAAGATGTGGATGTGAAGGCTGTTTACCCAGTTCAGGTTAGTTATTTGTGTCTACAGGTATGTGTGAGTGTTTTTGCGTGTGTTCCTGTCCGCTGACGTGGTGTTATCTGAATGCTTCTGTTGTCTCTGCTGCAGAACTGTGACGAGCGGTTCCAGTACAAGTACCAGCTACGCTCCCACATGAGCATTCACATCGGACACAAGCAGTTCATGTGCCAGTGGTGCGGCAAAGACTTCAACATGAAACAGTATTTTGATGAGCACATGAAAACACACACAGGTGAGAAATTGTGCACCGCTCGTCTCAGAACCATTATGCCAGTAATCATAGGGTCCATTTTTGTGGCCCATTTTTCCCACAGGAACTGTTTATAGGGAGATAACTTGACCAGAGTTTTGACAGGAACCTACTTCGAGTTTTAAAGCCATTCTATACTGCAGGCAAAAGGCTTTTTTGTAAACTATGAACATAACGGTTGTACACCTTTTTTAAGAAGTTTACTTCCTATGCTACTATTACCCCCAATTAAGAAGTAACTGTTCCAGAGGGTTTAGTTTCCAATGACCCAGAAACTACAAGGATGGATTCTCCTGTATAAGCAAGCCCTGGCTGTCACCATTACAGAATTGGAAATATACTTTTTTGTAATGTTATAAACACTCAAAGTTATGCAGCCAACTTTCCAATCTAAAAAAGGAGCGTTCAAACAGAAAGTGCTTGAATTACCTACCGGTTAAACAGCAACCTCTCGCCCAACCGGCATCAGTCTTCCCTCCTTCCCAGCATCGACGCTATCTAAATATATCACACAGTCGTGCAACAGTTAATTAAATAGAACGGAAAGATGAACGCGCTGTTGTTTCCGTAGCTTTTGAAACTTTTATGACTTATTCTTCTATCGGGGGTTACATATCTATTATGGCTTTTTCAAATCCAAAATACAGTCAATTTAAAAGTCTAAACTGTTTAAAGATTTTAAAAAACGTTGCTCAAGAACAACAATGTTCCTGGGTTTACACAGTCAGCCAGTCAGCCAGCCAGTTACCGTACACTTTCTAAAAAAGGAAAGACATGGGATGTTTCCAAGATGAACATTTTAGCGGTGAGAGCCGGGAGACTTCGCCCAGTTTTTGTAATGAGAGGGATTTTTTTATACATCAAAGAACCGCCTTGCATATATTGGGGCTTATAATGAATACCCAGACACATGCTGGATTACATCCCTCTGGTTTTCTGTCCCTGCTGCACTGCAATTTCTAAGACCTAACTGAGCAGTTCAGCGTGTTCATCTTTCAGTTTTTTCCCCCTCAACCATGCCTGCCGTGGGCGGATACACTGCTCTGCGTTGGCCCTCACGGTTCTATTTGTGAGGTGTAATTACGATGCCCTCTCCTCTCCCTGCCTCCACCATTCAATTTTAGCCTGCTGCAGGAGACACACCCAGCCATGCCCTGTAATAGGCGGAACACATGTTAAACAAACGTCCAAAGTTTGGTTCGCTGCACGCAGATTTTTCATGATTTCTTTTGAGCATAATTTCGCAGTTACAGAAGACTAGCACATTAGCTGTCACCTTTTGATGTTCAGTTTGATTGGAGGAGCTTTACACGTGCCAGTAGAGAAAAGGCTTTAGAGCCTTTCAGCAGCCTGTTAATAGATGGCTGTGTGGGTGGTAGCAGGCAAATTCAGTATGGAGGGAGGTTAATGAGAACAGCAATCCAACATAGCTGCTGTTATCCACTTTCACATCTACGCTCCTCAAAGTGTGAATTGTAATAGCTTCCTGCAGAGTGGGTGGGTGGCAAAGACCCTCAATTCAAGATGCCAAGTTATTAACCATTTTTAAAGAAAACTGTTGCTCTTTTTAGAAAGAAAAATTTAAAGGCAACAAATAATCACTTTGTTTTTGGAGTGAGTTAATTCATTTTTTATTCGGTAACCATCGCATTTGATAACAAAGCGGTTTGTCTCTGATGCGTCATTCTTTTCTCTTTGTAGTTCTAATCTGTTAATCGATTCCTACACTCTGTCTTTTGTCTTCTCAATCTGTGCAGGAGAGAAGCCTTTCATTTGTGAGATCTGTGGGAAGAGCTTCACCAGCCGGCCCAACATGAAGCGCCACCGCCGCACCCACACGGGGGAGAAGCCGTACCCCTGCGAGGTGTGCGGCCAGCGCTTCCGCTTCTCCAACATGCTCAAAGCTCACAAAGAGAAGTGTTTCCGGGTCACCAGCCCCGTGGTCCTGCAGACCAGCGGCCCACCCATGCCTGTCCGCATCTTCACCAACACCTTCTCTTCCTCTTCCTCCATCTCTGGTCCCAGTCCCTCGGCTGCCCCCCCGACCACCACCTCAGCACCCCTGGGCCTCAACCCGACAGGAGGACCCATGCCTCCGCGAGGCCCTTTGGGACACACGTTCTCCCACGTAGAGCTCCACTCAAACCCCTCTCACCAACATCCTCACCCTCCGACAACCCAGCAACACCTCTCAAACACACCCCAACATGTCCTGCCTCAGCCCCACCACCATTTGACCGTGCCCCCAGTCTCCCACCTGCCCCCACCCCCGGCCCTTTTCAAGAGTGAGCCCTTGAACCACTGTGGGCATGAAGACAGCAGCTACCTGCACCAATTGGCTCCCCCTGACAAGGGTCCTGGAGCCCCGCAGCACCACTGAACTGTGCTTCAGCTCTGCAGCCCCCCACCAAACCACGCCTTGTTCCTCCGCTTCTCTGCGTCCTGCCTCAGTCTCTCAGTTGCTAGCCCCCTGATGAAAGGGTGCTCCTCGCAAACGGGTTTAAATAAGTCAATATTCAAACATGCACACACACTCGCTCCACGTTTGATTTAAGTACCTCATCTACTTAAAGAACCCGGTCTACTGACAAATATTTCACAACAGAACCTTGTTCTTGAACATGTTTTAGGAAATCTATGATTTCTTCGCGAGTTCTCTAATCTGTACCACGTGTAAAGTATCTCCTTTTTATCAGAAGCTGCTGATAGAGGTCAACGTATGTATTACTGGATCAACAAGGATCAGTGTCATCAAACTTTTCTCTTTGTGTCAAGTTGACTTATGGTCGCACATTGACTGTCTGCGTCCTTCCTCCCCATAGCAATACTAAACATGTTCTCATAGTTAAATGAGAGCCTCACCCCACATAAATGATTGAATGTTGCTCAACCGGAGTCTCTCTGTCCTAAGGCTTTCTGTCAGAGGGGCATCAGCAGTAGTGCAACACACAGTGCCATAGGTTAAAGTTAGAAGAGGGGAAGACTTTTTTTAGGGGACAGTGGAAAAGAGGTTTTGATTTTTGTTAAATGTTGACGAAGACTGAGACTCACATCATGGTTAAATGGTGCTTTCCATTCCTATATACACAATGTTTCTTAATTTTGCTTTCCCGTTTGATTTTGAGAAGTGTCTCATATTACAAAATAACCATGTATTGTGTCAGCCCTGCTTTTATATAACATATTTGAGGTTTGACTGGTTATTTTGTGATTGAGAAACTCGATTTATGCAGGACACGCACCCTCACACTTTATCAAGCACACATCCAAAACACAAAGACCATAGTTTGGTCACTGATAAACTTGCTGTGTTCAGTGAAACCTCAGCTTTGAGCTCTGTTGGTCAACAGATCCTTTTAGATAACAGATGACTGTCAAATACTGCCACTGTGAGGGGCCAGACACATGGCCCCATCAGGATATACCCCACTTCCCTCCGCTGCTGTCGAAATGATACGGGTTACCATGTGAAAGGTCTTTTGACACACAAACAGTATAAACACCTGGGACCTTTTTTCATCACAGTTCTTGAACAGGCAATTATGCATATTCCTCTCAGCCTATATTCCACGGTTTGGTGTGGGGTGTGTTGTAATGTAATGTTTTCTTAAAAGTTATTTTCCTCTTACTGATATACTTTGATCCACACAGGCAAACGCGTGTCTAAACCTGTTGAATGTTGCCTACTCAGAATGATGGCTGATAAGTCATTGATATATTTTTGTTTTTGTTTTTCTAATGATCTCTTCTAATTTGCTCAGTTTTAAGCTATTGAGCTGTTCTGCAGTGTAGATACTGTTAGCACATGATAGGAAATGTCAGGATAAACAGCAGTGCTCATACAATTTCTATTGAATTCTTGTGTAGATAAGCATTCATGTGATCAAGTCAGCATACATTAAGTCATGTGATAGCCGATGGTGAGAATGTTATGTTTAAAAAAATAAGCATAAATTGCTGGAAATATTTGGCATGAATTTGAGATGCGTGGTTGTTAGCCCTTCACGCAGTCTGACGCCTATCGAATATGTGTGTCTGTGTGTGTGTAGTCTCTACTTGTCTGTGTGTCTGGTTGTCCCCAGACACACAGACAAGTAGGTTGCTCTCCTACCAAATGCTGCTTTTAAACAGTTTGCCCTAATACATGTGTATTTGGGGGACCTGAGATGGAAAATAGCAGTAGATTTAACATAATCCTCTTAGTACCACTCTAACGGTACAGTGATGCTCCGGAGTTTGGAATGTCCCATTTTTGGATTTGAGACCTGCAATTATCCTGCCATTTCTGTGGGTCTGAATAGGGCTGCATTATTTGCATATTATCACGATGTCCCCTCGGGTTCACTGCTGTGCTAGAGCACTTATGCAGTACGGATCTTTGTCTTTTTTCTTTTTTTTAAGCCTTTTCGTTTGTGTGTATTCTCTGCACTTTACTGCTGCGTGGGTGAGGCGCAGGGAAGGGAGGGACTGACAATGCATTGTGGAACCGACTGCAGTTGTGGCTGCACGAGAAAGGGTGGAGGTGATCCTTTTGAGTGGATGTTTTTAGGCAAGGAAAGGAGGAAAGTCCTGCGTGGAGGCGGTTAGTGAGAAGTTACCATTGCAAATGAAGGACATGTCTTTAAGTATGCGCATACATTTCATTTCCCGTTATGTTACATTAATACACTCTTGTTCCAAAATGAACCTCCTCTAAGATTGAAAGCGGTTTGTCCTGCTTTGGCGACATTACACTAGCCCCTCCTAGCTGTGTCTGAAATACATTCTTCTGTTATATATATTTTTTTTTCAGTTTTGTCTTTCAGTTTGCTGAAAGATTCTCCTCCTCCTTTCTTTGTTATATAGAATGCACTTTCTACTAAAATTCTTGGCTAGTTAAGAAAAATAACATTGTATATTCTTTAAAGATGTTTTTAAAAAATCAATATACTTTTCCCCTTTGTATTTTTAACCACTTAATGTAGCATTGCGTATTTTATTATTGTATATGGTACAAATGTGCAGCTTTATAATGTCCTTGTTTGTCCTTTTTTTGTATGTTATCTGGAGATGGAGAAGTTAAGAAGTGGGCCTTTTTTGATAATGTACATTTAACTGACTGCTAACTTTGAGAAGTAAAACAAGTAGCCATGATTATCACATATCTGTGTGCCTCCTTTTCTCTTCAAAAGCTGTGAGTCTACTGTGAAACTAAACAAGGACAATTTATTAAACCTGAAAAGTAGCAAATAAGGACTACACAACATGTTCCTGATAGTTGGCTAAGTAGCTTTGCTATAAAGCTTTAATGTTGCAACAGCAAATGTTTGATTGGCTGCTTTTTCAGTTCTTAAGCGTCACTTGGTTCTTGGCGTGATGCATGCAACAGAACAATGTCTGCTGGCTGCACATGACACTGAGTGTTCAGCAGCGGATTCCTTTGATTATCAAAGTTTTTTAATTGTCTGGAAAAGTTTTTAGGTCCTCTTCTTTGTGTCCACTTCCTTTTTTTCCTCTTGGTGTGACCCTTCGCTTTGTCTTGAAGTAACCTATCTTTCAGTCTTCACATCAAAGTGTTATATGTATTTGCAGGCAGTGGCCTTGCTGATAAGTGAAGCAGTTTATTAAACTAAAGCTTCCGTCTTGAATCTGAATCTGTATCATACTTTTTTAGATGAGCAGATGCTTTTGAAGAAGGATTCATCAACTACTCTCACCAGTTTAATATCAAACCCAAGAGAGAAAGGATTGTTCGAAGTATATTCTCACAGACTACCTCTCCTTTCCTAGAAATCCATTGTTCCTACTCAAGCAGCTTTGTTAGTCCATTAACAGTGTACCTCTAAAGAGAGCCACATTAAGACATTTGTTCTTCCTCAAATGCAGTGTGCCCTCTATCTACCAATGAGTCACATAATCCTCTTAATAGCGCTGAGCGGGCCGATGGAAAGAGAAAAGTGTGAGTGACTCACTGATTGTGAGTGGGTGGTCAGGTACCGAGGCTCACTTCATGAGCAGAGGAGATAATAACACACTGTCTGTACATCTCCATTCCCATTTGGGTTTGAAAATAGTCTGCCACCCCAGCTGTTAGTCATTACGCCTTGTGGTGTAGGAGCAGGGAGGCTGAGTCTGTCAGCAGGCAGATAAGGAAAGGAGGGCTTCACGCCGTGTCTTTCAGACGTTTACTTGTTGCTCTGAAAGTTTCTGTGCGGTTCATTAACACTGTGTATTTGCAAGGATTTGTCTAACAAAACCCTAGCTGTGATGCTAATGTTTCTCTAAATGAACACACCATATTGTTCCACATTTGCAATGATGGATTACTTTGGAATAAAATCAATTAGGTATATCCAATCAGTTTCTCAGATGTGATGCTGCTCCGTCCTCATTACCTTTTGTTCTCACAACTGAGGTATCAGCGTTTGTCCTGGCATTTTTCCGAACCTAAATACTGATCCTCATGTTAAAGGAGGAAGTCTCTGAACACTGGAGATTATTCCAATATTTTTCTTTCACTGCCCTAGGTTCACCACCATGCACAATGTTTTCCATGACACCTGGCTCCAAACACAACATCTAAAAATATAAAAAAATGCTGTTTACTTTGTGTTTTCTTAGACCTGGAGTGTTTATTCTTCCAACAGTCTCCCCTTTTGTAAATAGGCAACTGCATTTGAAAGTTAGCAGTCTGCCTTGAGACACACATCATTAATAGTTCTGCAGATATATTCAGTAAACTGAATATTTGCACTCTGTCTTTTTCCCTTCCTCCCTTTGCTCCCACAGCTATCCCACTCTCCTTGAAAGTATCGTGCACGCGCTCAGTAGGCTGCTATTAAATGGGCGGACTTGTAGGCGCGGTCACGTCCACAGCGGCTGCGGTGTGCCTGTCTGTCACATATAAGCGCGCGTACCACCGGCCGACAGGCGGAACTCTGCCTCACTCCGAGAGTGGATCCGACCAGACCGGACCGACACCGGGGATCATCGGAACACCGCTCCTGACACAGTAATGCATTTTGCGAGAATGTATTAATCTGTTGCATGCCGGGCATTATGCTGTTGCTTCTTGTTATTTTATTAGAAATAAACGTAAGCAGACTTACCCCATTATTAGTGATGGAGAATAATTACTGAATTGTGCTCTGTCGATTGAAAAATAACCCGTTTTCCTCCGTTTTTGAAGAATTTTACTTTTAAGATACATTTGCATCCATTATATAGCCCCCTTAAAAGAGATAGCCTACCGTAAACCTGTGTCGTTAAACTATAGGCCTAGTTCCAATAGGCATATTATTCTCTCGTGGACATTATTGGAGGCTATACACAACTTAATTAGACATTAAGCACAGGAGTACTTTATATGTTATTCAGTACTCATTATACAGTCTATGGTCATTGGGACCAAATATTGTTGCACCCTACCAGCATTCACTGTTTCCCCTCCATACAGACACAACGGAATCAGGAATCAGGAGTTCAGCCGAAATCCCGGACTTACTTTAAAAACAGTCGAAGGTGAGTGTACACACACACACACACACACACACACACACACACCACACACACACACACACACCCACACACACACACCGCCTGTTCCTGTAAATATGCTTGCTGGCTTGCAGGATCTGCATATTTTTCCAGATTCGAATTTAATCATTCATAGCCCATTCCCCCCCCCCCCTTCCTATTCGTACCTTTGTTTAAAGTCCTTCCCATTTCTTCAAACCTTTTTACTTTGAACTCGCTTTGCTTTTCTACCTTGGGTCATACAATTGTTTCTACTCAGATTATTATGCTAATTCATTGTTTTTAAATTAATATTAAACTCCCCCAACCAAAATTATTCGTTTATTTATGCATTGGTGTTTCCAGAAAGCCTCCATCTTATGGCCTGCCTTGCGTGGGATGCTGGAGAGTGCGAGAGCAGGAGTGGAGATTTGATTTCAACTGTAGTCCTTAAAGGTGTGGCATAGTCAATCATGGGGGACTCAATATTCACCTGCTGTTATGTCCCACCCCACCCTCCAGGCGAGGGGGACCCCCCTGGATCCAGGTCCAGGCGCTCAGAAATCACCATGGCTTCCAACTCGGCGAACATCTCCTCCGACAAGCGGTTCCTCATCTTCTTTGACTTTGATGAGACCATCGTGGATGAAACCAGCGATGACATGGTGGTGCAGGCCGCCCCGGGACAGCACCTGCCGGACTGGCTGAAGGACACCTACCAACCTGGCCGATACAACGAGTACATGCAGCGCGTGCTGGCCTACCTGGCGGAGCAGGGTGTCACCGAGAGCGACATCCGCAGCATCATGGAGAAGATCCCAGCCTCCCCCGGCATGCTCACCCTGCTCCAGTTCCTCCGCACCCGGCCCCCGCAGGACTTTGAGGTGGTGCTGTTGTCTGACGCCAACAGCTTCTTCATAGAGTCCTGGCTCCGTCGCGCAGGGGCCCGCCAAATCTTTCACCGGGTATTCAGCAACCCGGCCACCTTCAACAAGGACGGCCGGCTGGTGATGCGGCCCTTCCACTCGCACGACTGCGCGCGGTGCCCTAACAACATGTGCAAGCAGGTGGTGGTCAGGGACTATGTGGCCCGCAGGACGCAGGAGCGGGGCCGCCCATACCAGAGGATCTTCTACGTGGGTGACGGAGCCAACGACTTCTGCCCGGCGCTCGCCCTCGGGCCCCGAGACGTGGCCTTCCCGCGGAGGGATTTCCCCATGCACCGGCTGATCACGGAGACCCATGAGGCCATGCCCGGGGAATTCAAGGCGGTCACGGTTCCGTGGGCCAGCGGGGAGGAGGTGGTGCAGCGGCTGCGGAGGCTGGTGGCAGAGTAGAGACAGGGAGGGGGGACCATTTAGGGGCCAACTGATATTTAGTAATGTTCTCAGGTAAAATAGTCACACAACTTGTTGTTCAAGGCAATACAAAATATGTGTAGGTTGCTGTCAGTAATAATACATCATGTCTAGTAGTCTAGCTTCCAGTCCACACGTGCCTCAGTCCAGCCCATCTAACATAGACTGTATATATAAAGGTCCAGCCTCACGTTTTGGGTCAGGAGCAGGCACGTGCACACAAAGACATCAAAGTGGGCTTGAGCCCCAGCCCTTTTTCTTCCTCCAGAGAAAGTGCCCTTGAATATATTTCTACTGCTGTTTGCGCACAGTTTCCCTTTCCAAAAATATATTGATTGAATACAAAATAAAAACATCAGGTCGGGAGATTAGACTGTGAAGTTCCGATGCTCTCTATACCCTCCCTCCCCGTCTCCTGCACAGCGGTGCAGACAGTCATCGGCAGTCACTTCAGACAGACAGGTAGCAGCACCTCCCACTTTATGGTTCCATGTTATGCCGGCTTTTCTTGGCTTATTTTGAAGGCGAGTGGTGATGAACAAATTACTAAACTGCCAGTGCCTTGAGTTTACAGCTAATTAGCTAAAAGACAATAACAACGATAATTAACTAAGGCTACAAGCTAATGTATAAGTTAGCTCAAGATTTAGCTAAGTTCATTTATCATGGAGGCTAATGTAGGCCTACTGTACTTAAGGAGAGACACTTAAAGTGAATAAAGTAAAATGTGAATCTAATAACGTCATCACAATCGCCACATTGATATGCGAATTAGGCGTTAACTAGGCCTAATTAAAATGCGCTCATTTGCATGCAGTTACCAAGGCATTGCAGGTGAAAAGGATCAAACTAAAAAACACATCACCTCACAACTTCCCCAGATAGTTACTTACGTCAAGTCAGTATTTTCCCCTGAAATGTTATGTTTAAATGCAGATTAGCTTTAAATCTATAGATGAATTCAGACATGGTAGTAAAACGAACACAATTTATGTGTTTCTTGGAAGTTTTATTTCCATTAGAGTGAAAGAAAACATGGAAGCAAAATAGACCAAAATAACAAGTAGGCCTACATGAAAAAACAATCTTTTTGCCTGTAATGTCCTTAAATAGTGACTTCATAATTTTGATTGTTGGCTGCTCATTTAATAACTAATTAATTGTAGGCTACTAGTTTGTTGTCTGCTCTTGTGCATTGTGAATACTAAATAAGACCAATTGTCTCTATGCTGATTATTTTGTAGAATTCTGCTGAGTATTAAACAATTACGTGAGTGTGAGGGTATTAAAATAAATTGGTCAGTAAGTCAGAGATGTGCAACTATATTTAACTTTTTGTTTTACATTTTTTTTTATAAATAGCCGCGTTCACACCGGAGTACTTTTCCCCGTTAGTTTCGTTAGTACCCCTTATGTTGCGTTCACACCAAAAGGAGTACTTAGTGTGGGAACTTTTACCCCCATTTTTAGTG